CAAACTGGATTGCCAGCCAGGGCCAGGAAGCTTGCCAAAGGGGTCACAGGAACAAGCAATGCATGAAGTTGCTATAAGCCTGTGCACACTGAGCCCACTTGGCAAGTACACCAGGGACCGTTCCGTGCCACTATCAGAGACCCTTGCTTGGATCTGGGCTCCAGAGAGCATGGCTTTCATCTGTGTTTCAGCATCGTACCTTCTGTAGCCACTGGGCTGCCAGGTACTGGTGTTCCAGTGAAGTTGCCCCAATGTCTAAAGATGGGGACTGTGGTTATCAGAACAAGAAATGTATCAAATGAGAGAAGATATGAGGGATGTTCCTCATGGACTGTGTGACTACTGACCACAGAACTTTTATTTGCTCATTGTTTTGTTTATAGAAATGTGTGTGTGTGTGTGTGTGTGTGTGTGTGTGTGTGTGTGTGTAAGGCAAAGCATGCAAAGGTAACTTCTTTCTACCACGAGTATCTCACACGGTTTACCAGTTTACGTGGGGCCACAAGACTTTGAGTAGACAAAAGATTGAGAATAGAGCTACCATACAACCCAGCAATCCCTCTCCCTTGGGTATATACATGAAAATCTCAAAATCATTTCTTTGCAAAGATATATGCACCCCTATGTTCACTGCAGCATTATTCACGGTGGCTAAGACATGGAAACAACCAAAGTCCCGAGATAGCGAACTGGATAAAGAAGATGTGGCACATATACACACGGAATACTACTCAGCCATAAGAAAGGATGAAATAGCACCATTTGCAACAATATGGATAGGCCTTGAGAATATTACGCTAAGTGAAATAAATCAGTCAGAAAAAGCTAAGAACCATATAATTTCACTCACAGGTGGGATATAAAACTGAAACTCATGAACACAAACAGCAGTGTGGTGGTTGCCAGAGGGAAGGGGGTGGGGGGAGAAGGGGGTCCCTAATATATGGTGACAGGAGAAGATTTGACTTTGGGAGGTGAGCACATGGTACAATATACAGATCTTGTAACATAGAAACCCACACCTGAAACCTATATGTTCATGTTGATCAATGCCACCCCAATCAATTTAATAAAAATAAATAAAATAAAATAAAATAAAATAAAATAAAAAGGAAGACTCTGAGTAGATAAATATGTGGCTGGCTGGACTCACGCACTGCTTGAGGCACATGGTTGGTTTGGGCAGATTTAGGTTAACTGGACTCTTCCAGTGCCCGTGTAGGCAGTGAGGGTGCAGGGGGAGGCCGGGAAAGGCTGAAGGAGAGATTCTAAAAAGAAAAACTGAGGGGAGCACAGCTGCCCGAGGGATGGAAATCTGGGAGAAGGGGTAGGTTAAGAAGACGTTTAACAGGCCTTAGTGATCTGTGGTATAACTCCCTTTCCATGTGCCCAAGAAGCTTCCATTAAAAGGCCACGTCTATCGCCGTCACAAGGGTATACACAAGGGGAGAGGGGCCACCGTTACCGTGGGGAGTCGGGGAAGACCCCACTCAGGAAGCAGCCTGCAAAACTGAACTGGAAGGATGAGCGGGGATTATCTGGAAAGAAAAAGATGGGAGGGCAGGGGTCTCAAAAGCAAGCCCAGGAGAGGCACTGGCGATGAGTTTTCCAGTGACCTGAGGGGGATGGGGAAGATAAGGGCAAGGGAGCACGTTTTTCAGAAAGCGAGGTTTACTCCACTGAAAGCAGCTTTGGTTTGAGATGACATACTTTCGACTGCTGAAGTGTTGCAGTTTTTCTTTCTCTTGTGAAATCAAGGTGATAATGGATGGCATTACTATAATTTATAGTCTCTCTTACTTGGCCTAATGCAACAACACACATCGCCCACGTTTAAGAAATGGTCTGCAAGCTGTGGAGTGCATTCCAGGCTAAGGAAGGCAAAGGCCATCTTCGGGGACAGGCCAGGGTCTGTGGAGAACTGGGAGGAGGCCCGTGTGTGGCAGAAGCTGGGACGGAGCAGGACGGAGCAGTGCTTTAGGGTCCGATGGGGAGCCCTTTTTTAAAAAAATATATTTTATTGATTTTTTACAGAGAGGAAAGGAGAGGGATAGAGAGTTAGAAACATCCATGAGAGAGAAACATCCATTAGCTGCCTCCTGCATACCCCCTACTGGGGATGTGCCCGCAACCAAGGTACATGCCCTTGACCGGAATCGAACCTGGGACTCTTCAGTCCACAGGCCGACACTCTAGCCACTGAGCCAGACTGGTCAGGGCAGATGGGGAGCCCTTTTGTCAGGAGTTCTGACTTCATCCTTTAGAGAGCAGGGCTTTCCAAGTGGAGGGGAAAGCGGGCTGTGTTTGTTTTGTGGGTAGTGAAACAGACTGGAGAAGAAAGAGAACAGAAGACCAGTGCTAAGACCAGGTGTTAATTAAGACCAGGGGCAGCAGGCAGGAGGAAACAGAGCTCAAGAGGCCGTTCTAAGACATAACTGGCCTCAGAGACATTCGGTGGACGAGGAAAGTGCTTTAGGGCACCAGCGACTTGGATGCAGCAGGTGTCTCCAAGGGTATCTGAGGATGTCGCAAAGCTGAGTCGCCAAGACTGTGAACAGCCTACAACCCTTTAGGCTCACAAATCTCATCTTCTGAACGGACCTGCACTGTCCCCCGCACTGGGGTTCCCACAGACATTGGGGCCATTGGCCGGATTTTCACCTGGCACTTTTGAGATACGAGATGACAGACTGGAAAGACTCCGGCAGCCAGGGCATCTAAGGGAGCAGATGGACTTGCAGTGTGAATGCCGCTGACATGAAACTGACACTGGCCTGTGAGAGGGCGGAGAGGGCTGAACCCGGAGGAGCGTAGAGATGCCACAAACTGGAGCTCAGGGCCCAAGGGGCGGCTGCTCGGACACCCGCCTGCTGTGGCAATGAAGCCAGATCTGATTTTTTTGAATGAAGCTAAAAATCTGGATTTTTATTGTCAGTCAATTCAAGTTTCAAAACAACTACAACACTATGGGTGTCAAAATCCATTTGGTTTGCAAGCTGAAATTGTTCTGCTGACCTCTAGCCTGAGGCTATCAGCTAATATAGCCACAACAAGCCCTCACACAGGAAGAAGAACGAAAGAAGAATGAGATCCATGTAGTCATACCGGTGATATTGGAACCGTCAGGGGGTGGGGGGGAGACTATGAAATATTTTTTAATTCACAATTAGCAAACGCAGCAATCCCGAGTCTCCGCTTCTATTCCCAGAGGATGGCGTGGCATGTTTGGGGACCTGTACTTGTGACCTCCAAGCAACGCTCTGCTCTTGTCACATCTGCTTTTCACAGCTGCCTTTATAAAGGAAGAGCATGTGTTCTCAGCCTCACATGACTGATGTGGAAACTGAGGCAGGATGAGGTCGTTTCCCTAAAATCCCTGAGTATGGTGGCTGCAGAGGGAGTTGAGAGCCCCTCCCCTCCACAGCACCAAGCATCCGTCTGCTGGGCCAGCTCAGCTGCACTCCCTGGTTTTCGGGGACAACCCTAGGAGCCAGAAGTGTTGGACTGTGTCAGGGAAAAGCAACGGTGACCCGCTGCTCAGCCAGTCACACCAGCTTGGCTCTGGACTGGTCTGTGTTACACAGGCTTCCAGCATGGCCTCTTGTGTCCAGGCTGTAGCTGTGACTGCTGTCAGGGGCGGCTCAGCCACAGAAAACCACCCTACAGACGCTGCCTGCTGTCCTCACCTCTTGTCTATTTGGAGCCCTGTCTGTGAGGTTGCCAGGGCAACCAGCAGTCCTCTGTGAACTGCTCGGCCTTTTGATGAATACACAGATGACTTGCATCCACAGCTTATGACCTGACCTTTCACACAAGCCCCAGCAGAATTTTCAGGTGCCCAGTGGAAGAGGGTTGTTTGCACCTCACAAACCAACGAACAGCCCAGAGGCCAGGCCAGAGCAGAGCACGTGGGGATGATGAACCCCACGATCCCACCCTAAAAGTGACTGCCGTCTCGGTGTGCTTCCTGGGAGCCAATCTCTCACAGTTTGTGTCTGCCTTGCCCAAAGACTCCCTCTGGGAGACGGATTTCATTGAGGCATGTCTTCAACCACACCAGCTGGGATCCTAGCTCTTTTCCTCTTTAAAGGCCAAGTGTGCACCAATGAATGCTCTGGGTGGTCGTGCTAAACAAAGCAGGGGTCAAAGAAAGCAAACAACTGGAAGAGCAGGGCGTGTGCTCCTCGGATGGGGCTGTGGCCAGCAGGTTAGCCCGAGCCCTGACCTGTCCTGGTGCTTCTAGAAAAGGTATGTTATTGTGATGAGAGCACTGGGCTAAGCCGTAGGGTCCCAGCCTTCCCTCACGGCACAGCATTCTCATCCGAACCTCAGACACATCAGTAAGATGGGAATCGCAACACGGACCTCACAAGCTTGCTTTAAAAGTCCTTTGTAACATTTGATGCGTTCTATGGGTATTTTTTAAATCCTTTATAAGATTGCTCATTTTAGGGACAATATTAATCAAATATTCCAAATCAAAAAACAACACATAAAACCTCAAAAGTTATTTTTACAACTTAAACCTTTAAAAGAACTAGATGATTGTGATTTTCATGGATCTTACAGGACCTACCATCCTCTGAATTTCGGAATCAGAATCTTCAATATGGAGATTAATTAATTCATATGAATGAACAGTGTCTGAGGGTTACTTATTACACGGGGCGCCCAGGAGCTGGCTCAGGCTTTGTCCTGCAGCAGGTAAACCAAACTGCATATGAACACCTTTAGACACTGCGCACAACTCAAACAGAGGCCAGGCACTGGGCAAATAATCTAATAAACTGGTTAATTTTAAGTCAGTGCATCTATAAAATGGCCTGGAGGATCTAAAGCAAACTACTGTCTTTATTTAGAAAAATACCCTGTGTAATCAAACTAGCCTGCTTGAATCCACTGGAGAAATACAAATGCCTCCTTCAGTCGAAAGAATCATAGCTGCCCCATGAATACAGAATGAAAACTAACTTAAAGTAGTTTTAATTGAATCCACTTACTATGCAATGCTTCCATGTATGCTTTTCCTGGCAGTTGAGGTGGGTGAGGTGAAAAGATCATCTGACCTTAGCAGACCCGAGTTCAAGTTTGGGCTCCAGCGGAGATCAGCTGTGTGTACGCTGGCACATTACTTAACTTCTTAGAGCTTCAGATCCTCTCACACCTATAAAACAGCTTCAGTTGTGGTTACATGCGGCAGTATTTGTAAGAATTCTAGACCTCAGTTTACCAATAATAACTGTCAGGACTGCAGGCTAGCCATTTAGTCTTTTGGTATCTCAGGTTCTTAATCTATCAAATGGGACAATGACGCCCACCCTGTAGACTGTTCAAGGATGTTATTAAATATCCTGAAGCAGCAGATGTGAAGGTGCTCTGAAGCTAAGGGAGCCTTAATGTGGCCAGGCTAGCACACAGCCGAGGCCATGCTCTTCCCCAGTCCCAGAGGCCGGGTCACAGCGGCCCCTTGCCCGCTTCCCCCATCACAGCTGCCTGGCCCCACTCTCAGCTGAATAGTAAAAGCCCTACCATTCATATTTGTGAGGGGCCGCCAAAGCTGTGCTTCGAAGGAAATGTATAATGTAACACTTACATTAAAAAGAAGAAAGTCTAAAAATGATGTAAACATCTACCTTATGAAGCTAAAAATAAGGGAAAAAATAACCAAACTGACCAGAAAAAAGAAATATTACAGATCAGAGCCGAAGTCAACATAGAAAAGGGACAAACAATAGGCAGACAATCCGTGAAGCCTGAAGCTGGTCTAGATAAGGGCACAGAGGGCAGCAGAGCATGCAGAGGTGGGTGCTGGAGGGGGTGATGGTGGGGATCTCTGGAAGCTCTCTGCCGGCGGCCTCAGTGAAACAGGAAGCCGTAACAATCTTCCTGGTTTTCTAGTTGTATATGGAGAGCCCAGTACCAAGTACTCGCTCTTGGCCAGAAGCTGAAGTCCTTGAAGCAGCTGTCTAAAGCTGAAACCTCCCTTTGGTACAGACCCCATCTTTCTCACCTACTAAAGGACACCTTTCTGGCAGTTCTTCCCTGTCTCGCCCTCATTATCAAATTTTTGTTCTCTACTGGATGATTTCCATCGTACAAACATGCACTGCTTCTCCCATATCAAAGACAACAAAGCCTGGCCGGCATGGCTCAGTGGCTGAGTATTGACCCACGCACCCAGAGGTCACCGGTTCTATTCCTGGTCAGGGCACATGCCCCGGCTGCAGGCTCCTCCCCAGTGGGGGCCATGCAGGAGGCAGCCAATCAGTGTTTCTCTCTCATTGATGTTTCTATCTCTATCTCTCTTCCTTCCTCTCTCTCTAAAAATCAACAAAAACATTTTTTAAAAAAACAACAAAAAAAATCTTCTTTTAATCCTACTTCCCTCCTCCCCCCGCCATTAAATTGCTCCTCTGAGTAGCCAAACCCTTCCCATCAGGCCATCTTCCCCTCCACATAAACTGCTCTCATCACAGTCAGTAAGAACCACCAAACTGCCAGAGCCAACGGTCAACACTCAGCCTTCATCTTACAACAGGTCCAGACCTACAAGCAGGACTTGTCCCAGGAGATCACTCCCTCTTCCTGGATATATCTTCTTCGCTTGGCTCCAGGACACTGCCCTCTCTTGGTTTCCTCTTCCCAGCTCACTCATCACCCCTTTCTCTCTCTTTTGCATGACCCTCTTCCTCTCCCCAACGTCCTAATACTGGAGTGCCCCAGAGTCTTGGCTCTCCTCTTTTCTCTAGCCACTTCCGTTTCCATGGTGATCACACCTGAGCCCATCACTTCAAATACCGTTATTATCCCATGATGACAACATATAAATGTATCCTCTGCAGCTCAGACCTCTCTCCCAAATGCCAGACTTGACTATATCCACTTGGATGACTAGAGAAATTTCCAAGTTAGCATGTGTGACACTGCTTCCACGTCTCAGTTAGTGGCGATTCCATAGTACAATTGCTGGGCCCAAACATCCTTTATCTCGGACATATCATGTCCATTAGGAAATCAAGCTGGCTCTACCTTCAAAATATACCCGAATCCAAGTACTCCTCACTATCTTCCCTGATACCACTCCAGTTCATGCTACCACTGTCTCCCTCCTGGATTACTTACTGCTCTCCCCTCCTAAGAGATCATGTAGTTCTCAGTTCAAAGTTCAGTGGCTCCTTCACACTCCTCTCTAGTCACACCAGTCTCCTTGCTACAATGTAAGTCCCATGAATCAGGAACCTTTGTATATTCTGTTTTCTCCTAAACTCACATCACAGAGCCTGGCCTAATAGCAGACTGTGCAGTAAGTATGGTTGAATGAACAAACTATTCCCAGGCATCACCTGAAAACAGTGAAGGAGAGGGAAGGAACTTCCTCATCTCTCTGACTCCTGAGCAGGAGCGGGCAAACTACAGCCTGCAAAGTGAGCCTGCCACCTGCTTTTATAAATAAAGGTTTATTGGAACCACAGCCAAGCCCTTTATTTGCATACTCTCTGTGGCTGCCTGCCCACCACCATCCCAACAGAGTTGAGCAGCTGCCACAGAGGATATGAGGTCCACAAAGCCTGAAATACTTGCTGTCTGTTCTTTACAGAAAAAGATTTCTGTCCCCTGACCTAGAGGGTGCAAGGGGAAACTCGGCTACTCTTTGTTGCTCACACAAACATTCAGGCACCAAACTCAAAGAATGAAACGCACTCAGGCTTGGGCAGGTATCCAGTCACTCAGCACCATACAAAGATGCAACAACCCCGCTGTGGGGTCAGTTAGCTGAGAAGTGCCCCCACCCCATGTGCAGGTGCTATTCTGTCTGTTGAGGCAGCAAAAAGTAGCCATGTTTGCCTGCACACGTCACCAATGGGCAGACAAGGGAAATAGGTCTATTTTTTTTAACTCTACTTCAATTAATCTCTCAAGAGCTGAAAAATTTCTCCTAACTGCTTATTCTTAATCGTGCTCCCACAGAAGGGCTATTTGTATCATAGACTTTGACTAAATGACGCATTTCAGTTCCTTAGAATAGAGCCAGATCTCATCCATCTTGTAGACAGAGCCTCTCGGCACACCCATGGGTGCCCTGGGGGTCAGCAGGGGCTTCCCAGGCAGGTGACCTGCGCTTGAGAGAAGCGAGGGGTGAGCTGTGGATCCTTCCAAAACGAGCCCGCTGTGGGCAAGCAGGCGCCCGCAGGCTTCCCCAGGAAGCCGCCATGGCTCTCAGGAGGGCTCAGGTTGGGTCTGCCCTGGGCCTGTCCCAGCCTCCCTGGGGTCGTCTCGGACTTGGAAGGACTCTAAGTAAAGGAGCCCAATGAGATCTAGATTTACACCTCGGTAATGGCCAGAACCAGACCAACCACCGGGCGCCTGCTGACCCTGGACCATGAGATATGGAACTTGGCTGCCTTTGCTTTAGTCTCTGAGGGGAAATATCCCTATTTCTCCACTCTGGTCACATCTCCCATGGGCGTGGGGCCCCTCTGTAAGGAGAAAGAAATAAAATTCTGTAATGTGAAGAAGAGAAGGCTGAGGAGGGCCGATCAATTAAATGGTCCACAAAAGATGATGCCTAACCATGACTCTGTAAAACGTAAACAAAGCCCGCTAGACTTCGATGGAAGACAAGGACCTTAATGTCGGGAGGTAATTCCACCCGATTGTAAAAGCAGTTCACCACTGAAAATGCCAGGTGGAAAACTGATTTGAGAAACATTCTAAATGATCTACATACCTGAGAAGAAAACAAACCTCGAATGATGGTCAACCATAGCAATGGTGTCTGCACCCAGGTCCCGGGGGTGGGGGTGGGGGCGGGAGAGGGGTATATGGAGGCCTTATTCTCTGGAGAAGGTTAAGACCAGGGTAGTCCTGCTAGGACGGTGTAACCTTACCCACATCGAGAGAACTGGGTTGGAGAAACCTCTCAACCACCCTGTGACTCCACAAATAATTAAAGTAAAAGGAAATTCAAGGAGAAAGAAGAGGCAGAGGGTTGTGGTGGGTCTCTAGTCTTGGCCCCCAGAGCACTGCCCTGGGCTTACGGGTCCCCAGGGTACAGATCAAGACGGGCTCCTGGAGGTGGATGTTGCCAGCGTTATTAGTAACAGCACTTACAGGGGCTGCTTCTCTTCTCCAGGGATGCTGGGGATACCGAAGGCTCCTACAGGACACTGGGCTAGGCCTTTGCTAAGTGGAGGGCTCTCTTCCTTGGCGTGGATGAAAGGAGATGGGTGTGGTGACAACTAAGAGGACAGATCTGTTGCCTGAAAGTCAGGAGCCAATCATGCCGGAGGCCATGATCTGACCTCCCCACGAGACAAGAATTCACAGCCATCTGCTCACTGGTACACAGGGAAGTTGCTCTGCGGCAGGCGTGGACTTCGCAGGTGTTAAGCAACAGAGTTACCAACTTTACATGATCAGTCCCCAGGCACTGTGAGGGAGGAAACGGAGGAGATGCACGGAGAGTACAGGCATACACAGGTAATTCTGTTCCAATAAGGTGTTAAAGGGCCGGTTTCCTCCGACCTAAGGAAAATGCCCACGCATAAAGTCACGTGGAATTAGGGCAGGAGAAGGAGGGTCTCTCTCTGCATCCTTGCCTGACGCACCCCATCGCCTTTGGTGCCACGAGGGCGGGGCTGCTAAAGCCTCTGTGTGGGGGTGCCTCCCTCCCTCTGGGAAGGTCACTGTCCCCAGAGGAGACCCCCAGAGTTCAACCTGAGTGTGTTTTCAGGAACACTGGCCTCTCCTCCAGATCCCCACCTGGAGTGACTCCCCTCCTGTCCTCCACAGGGACATCCCATCCAACCCAGGGCCACAGCCTTCTCTGGGGAAACCCAGCCCCTCCCACGATGTCCCAGGAGCCTGGGCCCTGTCCCATTGAGCCTGGCACACTGCAGCCTAGGGCTGTGGCCAGCTGTTGCGTGCTTGCCTCTGCCTCTGCTGCTTCTGCTGGGCTGAGAGTAAAGGTAGGGTCTGTGAGAGGAGGCAAGACAGGCACCTGGGCTGTCTCCAGGCTCCCCCCCAACAACGGGCTGTGCCTCAGCATCCTAGTGCCACCTGCTTCAGAAAGACATGGCCTTGAGTGTCACACAGGAATGTGCCTTCCTCTAAAGAGTGTCACTGGTACCTCCTGTGCCAATTTAATTTCAAGACACTCCTCTCCTTCCAGTTCCTGGGCCGAGCCATCTGGAGGGACGTCCCCTGATAACGAGGTGAGGGTGAGGGCATGCTGTCTGCTTATCCCATCGCCCAGAACTGTCTGTCTGTGTCTGATACTTCCTCGGCGGCCTGGTGGGCCCTGCCTCCTGCACTGACCTGCCCTCTCCAGCCTCCCCCTGGCTCTGCCCCACTCCCCCAGCTCCATCCCAAGGTGTCTGCCCTGTAATGCTGCCAGCACGGCCTGTCTCCTCACCCACAAGCCTGCAAACAAGGCCCGCTGCATGGGGAGGGCAGGAAAGGCCAGCGACGTGGAACCAGAGGAGAGAGGAGGCCCCTCTCACCGCCGCATCCAGGATGGGATGTGGCTGTTCCTCCCCAAACTCAGAAGCAGTTCCTAGAATCTTGGTACCTGTGAGCAGAAGAAAACTTTGTCTAATGAATGAGGAAATCAAAGCCCTCAGCTCAGCTTGGCCTCTTGACTCCTGATCGACACTCTCGTCATGACATTAAGCCTCCCCAGTCTAAACTCCTGAGGTCACAGAATACCCCAAACCTACAGGAGGGACCAAACCTGTTCAGTTGGCACTGGGAAGGGGTCCCTTCCCGCCCAGGACCAGGGAATGTGGCTGAAGGGAACCCAAACCTTCCTTTTGCAGAGGAGATGAGACTTTCAAACTTCCACTCAGTGAGCTTCCCACTAAAGCCCGCTGATGCCTTTTCAACAAATGCATGCCACTGGGATTCCTTAGGACACCACGCGTTCTCAACGCCCTCAAAAATAATTCAAGGAACACAGTTTGTATCCACACAGTGCCTCTGTAATACACATTTTGCATAATTATTTGAGGTAATTAATGGGGACTAGATTAACTTTTTTCACTCAGCACAGGGACTAGTTGACAACCAGAGTTGTCAAGCATTTAAAACAGAAGGTAACTGTCTCCATAAAATTCCCATTTTCATGTTCCTGAGGCCTGGGTTGGACCCAGCGACTCTTTGCGACCTTTTATAGATTCGCTGATAAATGAAAATATAAATCTATGAAGTAGAAAATCAAAGTAATGTTTCTTCAAACAGAGTTTTCCTTTTTCTTACTCCAAATCTATCCTGATAGATGCAAATTAAAACAATGAGATACCACTTCACATCTATTAGACTGGCTAACAATTCCCCCCCCCCCAAAAAAAAACAAAACAAAACACAAAAAAAACCCAAAAAACAACCCACCAAGTGCTGGCAAGGATGAGGAACAGCTAATTAGAATCCTCATGCATTGCTGATGGGAATGCAAATGATACAACCACTTTGGAAAACAGGGTGGCAGTTCCTTATACACATTCACGCACCATATGACTCAGCCATTCCTCTCGTAGGTGTTATTCAAGAGAAACAGAACATCTATATGCAAATATTTATAGAAGCTTTATTCATACTTGCCAAACATTGGAAATAATCCAAATGTCCATCAACAGGTGAATACGTAAACCAACTGCCACACGGCTACAATGGAATACACCTTAGTAATAAGAAGGAATAAACAGCTTCTCAAGGGCGTTGTACTGAGGAAGAAGCTAATGGCAAAAGGTCACGTGCTGTATGACTTGACTTATGTAACGTTCTTGAAATGACACTATTATAGAATGGGAAGAGTTGCCCAGTGGCTGCCATGGGTGAGGAATGGGGGTGGGGGCAGCAGTAGGTGACCACAGAGCAGTGAGGGGAGAGCTCTGCGTGCTGGCTGACGTGGTGGCCGCACGCGCCTGTGCATGTGGCGGGATGAATGGCGCACCTGGCGGTGGTGTCAGTTTCCTGGAACCCATCCTGCACTACGGTTATGTCAGATGCAATCATTGGAGGAAACTGGCTGAGGGTCCAGGAAACCACTTGGTACTGCCTTGGCAACTTCCTCTGATGCTATACTTATTTTAAAATGAAATGTGAATACACATGTGCATGAGTGCACACACATGTATGATGCAGGCAACAACATGGATGACTCTCAAACACATTATGTATAGTGAAAGAAGCTAGGCACAAAAGGCTACATTCTGAATGAGTTCATTTATATGACATTCTGGAAAAGGCAAGACTTCAGGGGTGTAGGGCAAGTTCATGGTTTCCCGGCATTACATGTGAGGCAGCACAAGGGACTCCGGAATGATGGGACCATTCTGTGTCCTGTTCGCTGTGGGGTCACAGGAATCTATACATGTGAGAATCAATAAAGGGAAACTTCATTTAAAACGGAGTTGGGGGTTAACGGGGGACCCTCATGCACTACCACTGGACATCAATTACAGACGCCAACAGGAAGAATTGTCAATTACAGACCTGGGCAGGAGGAGACCTTACATGCCAACACTACTTCACTTGTCCAGCAACTCAGCCAATGAGAAACTGCCACCACCCTGAACACTCACTTTCCTCCAACAGACTTTCCTTCAAACAACCCTGCCCACATCCTCCTTTCTCTCTATAAAATAATGCTCCTCTCCCTAGCTCACTGGACTTGTTTGTGAATTTTGCTATAGCTTGTTTGTACCAATCGCAATTCTCCACTATTCCCTAATAAACCCATTCTGCTGGCAAAATAACTGGCTGTTGAATTTTTAAGGTTGACAATGTGTTTAAACTCATGGAACTATACACCAAAAAAGAGTGAATTTTACTGCATATAAATTTAAAAATAAACTTTAAGAAATAAAGTCAGTAAAACACAGAAAACCTCACCTTTTAAGGAACTATTGTGATTATTTTTGCATAAATTACACATTTGGTTTTCACAATTTATGGCCCTAGCGACTCTACCCTGGGGGGGGGGGGGGGGGAGGATTCCCTGAGACTGTGTGACTGAAGGACTGCCTTTACATTGAATCTCTTCAGTGCTTTAGATGTTAGCGATGCAAATGAGAAGTTGTAATGGGTTTGGTGTGTTGACTGGCCAGCTCAAATTATTGCCGGGCGCTCACCAAAGCTTGAATGATCACACCATGAAATTAGAATCTGAACAGACTGGTGGAAAGGTAACTTGAAGCCAAAACAAGATTTGGGGGGAGAGAGAGGGAGAGAGAGAGAGGAGAGAGAGAGGAGAGAGAGAGAGAGGGAGGGAGGGAGGGAGGGAGAGAGAGAAAGCTTGGGAAATATTTGCAATATTTGAATTCATTTCCTGTTTCCTTGAAAATGTTTTCAGTTTGCTCTCACGGGTTCAGGTGTCCATTTCACATTCAGCAGTTGATTCTTTGGACCCATGTGGAGTGTGGAATGTAAGAGTCTGCTCGCCACCCCACCCCACCCGTGGGTCTTCTTTCAGCAGGTTTCTTTAGTGACTGTGGGCAGGTGACTAGTAGGTCACCACCTTTGAATTTCCAGTCACCACTCTTGAGCTCAGTCTTTTCTTTACGCTATCTTTGGCTGGGTTCCGCACCAGGAAGTTTAAATGTGACGTTGCAGATACATCTCATACTTCTCAAGACTTCTTTTTCCGCATCATTGCATATGCACATGAAAAACTGAAATTTCAGGTTGCATCTGGAATTTAACCATCAATAAGAACGGCATCTCTTATGTGGCTGCGACCTTCCTACCCCTGGGAAGTGTCCATCACTGAGCTCATGCTGAGCTTCCCTTCATGTGTGAAAACAGGACTTTCTGGCTCTGAACTCAAAGTGCCTCAAGCAATACTGGCTAGAATCACATGCTATCATGCTAAAACATTCATCGCTTAGTTTAATTCACTAGTTCAGAGAGACAAGCCATGTGGGCTTTTTCTGTTTGTTTATACTCTTTTACTTTAATTTTGACTAAAGTAATGCTGTTACCAGGCTGAACAGTACCATTGGCCTGCGCGCATGAAAGCCCAATAACACACCAACAGGAGTTTGCAGCCAAGAAAGTAGATTTCTGAAGGAGATGGCGCCATGCCCGGGGAGTCACAGGTGGCTCTTGATCACAGACCTGGCTCCCGCTCACAGACCTGGCTCCCCCTCACAGACCTGGCTCCCCAATGGCTTCCCAGGCGTGGATTATACAGGAAAGATCACTAATCAATGTGACTGCTGATTAGTTGGTGCTAGGGGAGGGGTAACTGATCCTAGCCTTTGGTCCTGATGTCAGCCATGGAGTTGCTCTGTCCAATTTCACTAGGGCTTGTTCTGTGGGGTCGTTCTGCTTTTCTGGGTCTGGAGCTAAAACACCATTGAGACTAGATATTATGTTTAGTTGGATTGAAAACTGTCTCAATAGTCAGTAGGACCTTGTTTCTAAGACTATTGGATGCCGACCAGAACCTCACTGTCCTGAGGGCTTCATGATTAAGAAGGGACGGGGAGGGGGATGAGTCAGCATTAGGTGAGGCTAGTTTGAGTCTCTGATATTTGTGAAGACAGAGTTTCCCCCATGGCCTCTTCTCCGGACGAACCACTTTCGAGAGTCTGAGCTGATATATATTTGTTAATATGTTTTTATTGGTTTCAGAGGGAGGAAGGGAGGGGAATAGAGATAGAAACGTCAATGATAAGAGAGACTCACTGTTTGGCTGCCTCTGGCATGACCCCTACTGGGGATTAAGCCTGCAACCCGGGCATGTACCTGGATCAGGAATCAAAGCCTGACCTCCTGGTTCATAGGCCAACACTCAACCACTGACCCACACTGGCCAGGCTGAGCTGATGCTTTTAGTATTAACCTCTATATTTCTAAATAAAATGTTTGTTTTGCTTCTGAAGGCAGTGGAATATGCCACCCTGAAATATGAGTGTAGTTCAGGACACTCACCCCCCTCGCCCAATAAGCCACTTCGGTTTATATTGACTATTTTGAACTGTAAGCATTTGACAAATAGCAAATGCAAGGGGCGGCTTCCTCTGAGTCCCCTTATTTGCTTAAAGACAGAACCTCCAAGAGGAACTCAATTGTCATAAATCCCCTCCCAGGAGTTTCATCAACCAGGGAGACTTAGTGAGACTTA